TTAGCTGAGAACAGCGATGCAAGCTGAACTAACCATTGGTGAGGTGAGATTTGACTGTTTCACTGATTTATTCTGATGATTAAATTAAAAATTTGATATATGTAAAGCTACATGCTCTCAATTCTTTGGGGTTACATCAATGTATGAATACAAAGCAAGAATAAAGAAGAGAAAAGCTGGAAGAGAGAAAGAAGAATTAATATTATAAGGAGCAAACGTTCAATGATTTAAAAACGGACTTTATGAGGCAGGTTGAAGCCAACAAAATCATCATTTTCCAAGTGTGGCTTCTAGAAAAAAACTCCTCAGGAGGACCTCAATAAGATCAGTGATGGCAAACCAACTTCTCTGAAGGGTATCTATTTTCCCCTGAAGAGTGCAACTGAGGATAGCCCAGAGCATATGTTGAGGTCCCATCTCAATTCAAGGAAGTGAGACCTCAAGTCCTCTTGGAATCACCCACCATATATGGAGAGAGGAGAAATTCCAAGGTGGACCTCTACAGAACGTGGTCTATCCTGCTCCTCAAAAGTTTTGGGGCACTTCCTTGATTAAATACAGGAAATAAAGTTGGCTGAGATTACATCAAAATGTCTCCTGTAGATGTTTCTGCCCATTGCAACAGCTCAGGTATCAATCTAAGAAACCTTACCTTGGACGCAGGTTGAGAGGCAGGGTCCCTGCAAGAATCCCTTTTCTTCTACTGGCAGCCAGTTGACCATTCCGTAGGGACTTTCCTTTCATGCCTTCCTTGAAATCCCAAACTGGGCTCCCATGGTTGGTATGGAGGCAAAGAGAACTTCACCTGTGAATACAACCTGCCCGCTGAACATTTAGCAGGATTTCCAGTTGTTACTTGCCTTCTGCAAATCAAAGGCCCCTCCCTGAGTTGACTGCACCTCCTTCATTATTGTAATTACCCTGCCTCTTTATGAACCAGGACATCTGGTTGCAGCTGTTCCCAAACAAGGATTCTCTTCCGCTCAGAGTTGCAGCAGGAGGCCGGGGAGGGGGAGGGAAGGAAAGACTTTTTGGCACTGGTGAGATAAACACCTTTATTGTTCTATAATCTTTCGTGGACTAATACCATTCATGTAATCACACAGACAGGAGATTATTGGCTGTGTGTGCTACACACGGTGCATATTTGTACATAAAAATATAGCTGCATCAGTGGTGGGATTCAATTTTTTTTACTACCGGTTCTGTGGGCGTGGCGTGTCTCGGTGGGTGTGGCATGTCTCGGTGGACGTGGTGTGTCTCAGTGGGCGTGGCATGTCTTGGTGGACGTGGTGTGTCTCAGTGGGCGTGGCGTGTCTCGGTGGGCATGGCGTGTCTCGGGCGTGGCGTGTCTCGGTGGGCGTGGCGTGTCTCGGTGGGCGTGGCGTGTCTCGGTGGGCGTGGCGTGTCTCGGTGGGTGTGGCGTGTCTCGGTGGGCGTGGTGTGTCTTGGTGGGCGTGTCGTGTCTCGGTGGGCGTGGTGTGTCTTGGTGGCATGGCTTGGTGGGCATGGCAGGGGAAGGATACTGCAAAATCCCCATTCCCTCCCCACCCCATTGACCTGCTTTCCAGCTCCCTTCTCCTATGCAGGGCAACCAAAGAAGACCCAGCTAATCAGCTGGGACTCAGGAGGCAGAGAATAGATGGGGTTGGTGGGGCCAGTCAGAGGTGATATTTGCCAGTTCTCCGAACTACTCAAAATTTCCACAACCAGTTCTCCAGAACTAGTCAGAACCTGCTGGATACTATCTCTGAGCTAGACAAACATATATATAGATTACTAGAAAACCTGTATGTGGTGGAATGTAGTCAGGATTCCCAGGAGGGAGGGACCGCATTCCAGAGGACCAAGAGACAGTGAAGCTTAGATAGTTCATTTGAGAGGAAAAGAGTCAAGAAAGCTCCTACCTAGATGTACTCAGAGTATACTTTTAATTGTGCAATTATACTTTGCTTTAGTTTCACAAGATTTCTGTCTGTAGGTAAGGAACAATAAACAAACTTGCTTGTTTAAAAAAAAACACTCATCATTTTGTGTTTTGGAGCCTATCACAGTGACCACTTGGGCATTGTTTCAGAGATATTTTCATATTTAAATAGAGAAATAGAATGACCACTGGCGACCAAAAAAAACCAGCGGAAGCGGAAACAACTTCCGACTTCCTGCCGGTTTCCCCACTGACTTTCCTTTTGAAAAGCTGGCAGCAACCTTGGAAGTGACAATCATGTGATGGCACATGCACAGTGGCCAGGCAGCATGGGTAGCAGCACTGAAGCAGCCACGATTTTGCCAAATTTCGGTTCAATCGGGGTAATGAGTCCCAGATTTGGAGCACACTCTTTAAGTCCCCTGATTTGAAATTCAAAAACTGTTCAAAAAACTGTTGCCCTACGATGCACTGTTTGGCCCAATTGAAGGTCACAAACAGTTGAACACAGTTTTAGGAGCCTATAGACAAAAAATATAAACAAGACCTGAGGCATCCATGGGGAGGAGGTCAGAAAAGTCAAGATGGTGCCTGCGGTCATGTGATCAAAGTCCTTTGCCTTTGTGTATGAGGGAAATTTCATTTTTCTGCGAAGCACAATAGTTTTAATGCTCTGTAGTTTTACTTCAGTGCTCAGTGTCTGGTTAGTATTTGAATGGAGACCCAATTGTTTTTCGTTTCAGCTGGAAAGCTGAGAATACAGGTAGTCCTCGACTTACAACCACAATATGTTGCTAAGGGAGACATTTGTTAAGTGAGTTTTGCCCCACAACTTTTCTTGCCACCCATTGACTTTGCTTGTCAGAAGGTAGCCAAAGGGGATTACATGACCCCCAGACGCTGCGACATCCATAAATATAAGCCAGTTGCCAAGCCAGTTGCTGGTTACTTTTTACCAGTCCACCATCAAGAGCATTTTGGCATAGTGTGTAACGGTGTGATATGCTTGGATGCTCTGCAGTGGATAAGAAGATGCTCCAGAGCAGCAGTCGCCAAGTGGTGGGCCGCGAGAAAATTTTGGTGGGCCGCAGAGAAATCTCGCCCCCAGAGCACCCCCCCAAAGCAATTAATCCAGGCTGCGTAGAAACACAAGGCTGCGCCACCCACATGGCCAGCAGGAACCCTCCCCACCCACTCCTTACCCAGCCAACTTTCCTGCTAAATTGCTATTTTTCCTTTTTCTGACTATCAGCTGTTTTGCTGCCTTGGGAGATTTAGATTAGCTAGGAAGCAGGAAATGTTGGATTTCTTGCTTTCTAGCAAGTCTTTAGATCTTAGGTTTTGCTTTTAAGCACAGCTGAACCTCCCTTAGGACTGAAGGTTCTATTATTCAGTGCAGACTCATGGCAAGCAAATTTGAGAGACTGAGCTTGCTGATGGCAGATAGATAGATCACTGAATGATTCTGTGAGCAACTCAATCTGCCTGCCTGCTTTGCCTGATTTTGGGTAAAAGTTGCTCTTTTTTTATTATAAAAAATTCAATATTTACATACATGGTGTGTTGTGAGTTAATTTTGTGAGTTTGCTTGCAAGCAAATTTTATGTGACAGACTGAGCTAGCCAATGGCAGATAGATTTTTGAATGAATCTGTGATTCTGTGAGCAACTCAATCTGCCTGTCTGCTTTGCCTGATTTTGTGTAAAACTTGCTCTATTTTATTATAAAAAATTCAATATTTATATAAATATTTATAATATTTACATGCCCAGCCAGTCACATGACCACCAAGCCAAACCCACAAATTAGGCCACACCCACAGAACCAGTTAGTGGTCCCTGAGATTTAAAATTATAAGTTTGGTGGTCCCTGAGGTCCAAAAGGTTGGCGACCCCTGAGAGTTATAAACACAGCACAAAAAATCCTTGGTTGCTCTCTTTCCTCTTTGGAAGAGATTGCAAAGACCAGACTCCTCTCTAGAGCACTAAAAAATCTCCACAGACCGTTCTCATCCTGGTCATTCATATTTCGATCTGTTACCATCAGGGAGGCGTTATAGGTGTCTTAAAATGAGGACTAATAGATTGAGAAACAGTTTCTTTTCCAAGGCAGTAATTGTTTTGAATCAAACAGTGCATTTGTGATGTAGTCCTATTATTATGGTTGTTATTTTAATTTTTAAAACTCTGTAGTGTGATTGTGATGTGGTGCTTGGGGCACTGTGCTGGAGTAGCTTTCAAATTTCAAAGGTATTCTATTCTATTCTATCTGAATTTTGATCGCATGGCCACGGGAATGCTGCAACCGTCGTGTGAAGAACATCGCAAGTCACTTTTTTCAGAGCCGTGGTAACTTTGAACGGTCACTAAATGAACTGTTGTAACTCCAGTACATCTTGGAGAAAGACACATTCAACCTACTTCTGTACTGTTGTCCAGAAATTGTACTGTTCCTTCCATTCCACACTATCCTGTCAGAGCTGAAGAAGCTTCTTGGATGAGAAGCAAAATGTCTTCAAAAGAAAAAAAAAATCAAGGAAATCCAGTTGTCTCCTGAAAAATAAAAAAGCACCTTTGAGACAACCACGACCTGAGGATGACTGAGAATCTCTACAGACTTTTAGCTACACAATTTGGGATGAACATCCTTGGAATGGTGTGGGAGGAGGAATGGATTTCCAGAGTAAAAAAAATTGCAGGCTATGGGAACCAGGAACCAGGTGACCCTGAGGACACAGATAAACCTACAAGTGGTCTCAACGACCCTCCAAAGGGATGCAAATGACCAGCCGTCTGCAAGGAATATAAATCCTTCCATTCCCCCACTTTCCTGTCAGAGTTTTTTCTTTTGAAGACATTTTTTTCTTTCTCCTCCAAGAAGCTTCTTAGAGGAGAAGCAAAATGTCTTCAAAAGAAAAAACAAGAAAGTCCAGTGTGCAAAATAAGAGAAAGAAAAGCAACTTTTTTTTTAGAAAAGCAACAAAGTTTATGCATTGGAACAGCAGAAGCAAAAAAACACCTCATGACCAGAATGTTCCAAATTTATTTCCTTGTCACTGATGAAACAGGGGCGGTTATTGATAGACCTTCAACACCAACCATAAGCTAAGAATTGCCGCCAGTTGTGGGCCGGTGGGACTGTGGGCTTTGTTGCAAAGATTCCTTTTACAACATTCGGCATGAGTATTTCCTCTCTTCAGTCTAAGATATATATCCGTGTCTCTCCTGCACATGGACTCCGTGGCGCAGCCCTTCTGGATGGTCACGGCTGTGCTTTCATTTTCTGGAAAACAATAACAAAAGTGTATGTAGTAGGGGTCACATTTACTTTTTTTTAATGTAATTTTCTGATGGAACCACCCAGGAGAACCTAGATGGTCACTAAAATCCCAGGGGTGGGCTTCAAATATTTTAGCGAAGGGTTCGCTGCCCAGTTGCTGGGTGGGTGTGGCCATGGTGGGCATGGCCTAGTCGGCCTCCTGCACCACGGCGGAGTGGTGGTGGCGTTTTTGCCCTCCCCGGAGGCTCCAGGAGGGCGAAAACAGCCTCCCCGGGCTCCAGCGGCTCTCTGGAAGCCGGAAATGGGCCCATTTCCAGCTTTCCTGAACTTCCAGGAGGCCCGTTTTTCGTCCTTCCGAGCCTCTGCGTACGCCCTGCACTTAAAAAATGGGCCATGTGGAAACTCCTGGGAGGGCGGGACAGGGTGGGCCGGGCCAGCCAGGAGTGGGATTTGGGGGGTTCTCCAAACTGCATGGATGGATGGATGGATGGATGGATGGATGGATGGATGGATGGATGGATGGACGGATGAATGGGGTGCATGGAAGGAGTGTCTGACTGTCTGGCTGGGGTAGATAGGGGGAACATTGCAACTATGATAAATATATGCCAGTTACCAAGCAACCAAATTGTAATCATGTGATAGAGATCCTGCATAAGTGTGAGGACTGGACATAAATCACATTTTCAGTGCTGTTGTAAAGTAAAACAATCCCTAAACAAACGGTGATAAGTTGAGGACTACCTGTATTGAGATGTTTTTTTTTCCCCTCCTCTCTTTCTCTGTCTTTTGTATCAGCTCAGTTTGTAAGCCTTCTCTTTACCTGCTCTGATGATATGGACACACCGGTTCATGGCTCCGGTGCACCTCAAAACCTGCCGTTTCTGGACAGCGCACTCTTCATGGCCCGAATCACGACAAGTATAGCACTGTAGCCCATTGGGCTCTCCTGGGAGGATCTCTGTAGGCAGGGGGGAAAATAATAAAGGAGCTGATCATGGTTTCTACCAATGACAAGCGGAAACTGGAATGCTGCAACCAATTTTGGCCACCATACTACAAAAAAGATGTTGAGACTTTGGAAAAAGTCCTGAGAAGAGCAACTAAGATGATCAAAGGCCTGGAGACTAAAACATGTGAAGAACGGCTGCAAGAATTGGGTATGGACAGTCTAGAAAAAATATAGGACTAGGGAGTGACAGGATAGCAGTCTGCCAGTATTTGAGGGGCTGCCCCAAAGAAAAGGGGGTCGAGCTATTCTCCAAAGCACCAAAGAAGTCAGGACAAGAAGCAACGGATGGAAACCAATCCAGGAGAGAAGCAACCTGGAATTAAGGAGAAATTTCCTAATAGTTAGGACAATTAACCAGTGGAACAGCTTTTCTCCATAGTTGTATGTGTTTCATTACTGGAGGTTTTTAAGAAAAGAGACTGGACAGCTTGTCTGGAATTGTATAAGGCCATGATGGCAAACCTATGTCACGCGTGCCAGAAATGGCATGTAGAGCCCCCTCTGTGGGCACGCAAGCCGTTGTCCCAGCTCAGCTCCGCCGTGCATAGGCGCATGCCTCCTGCTGGCCTTTGGGTCTCTGCTATACATGTGCAGGGCACATGCAGGGAGTGGAGCGCATGCACAAGGGGGTGCACGCACAGGGGATTCACATGCATGCATGGGTGGTACACGCACTGCATTTTGGGGATGCGCGTACATAAACGCACTTTGGGCATTCGGTACCAAAAAGGTGAGGCCATCACTGGTGTAGGGTGTCCTGCTTGAGCATGGGGTTGGACTAGAAGATCTCTAAGGTCCCTTCCAGCTCTATTCCATATTCTATTCTAAATGTGTCACCCTCAGGATCTGCTTCCGTTCATTAGTCAGAGTTTAGTTTTTAACTTCTGGAGGCAAGTCATTCCACTGATTAATTATACTAATTGTATTTATTTCTATGGGCCAAGTCACATCCCTGAGGTCATGTGACTGTATTTGGGGTATCGCCCACATTTTGGGTCAATCCACAGTGATTGACAATGGTTTTTTTCATCCAGAACTGGCATTTCCTTAAACTCTGTGGACTTGAACGGTTTATCTGCCTCTATTTTTATTTCTTTTCCATTAAAAAAAAATTATTTCACCAATCACACAGCATATACAGATGCCATAACATACAGATATATAAAAGAGATATTTATTTCCCTCTTCCTTTACAAGGATTATGTCTTACTATAATCCTTTTTTTATTCAAAACAAAGGCACATTTTTCCAAAAAGACATTATTTACAGAATCATTGGTGAGATTACACAATCGTTACTCCATCTGACTTTAATAACAATTCCGGGCAGAGTAGATGAAATCTGTGATTCTCAATCTGGGCAATTTGAAAATGTGTGGACTTCAACTCCCAGAATTCTCCAGCCAACATGGAATTCTGGGAGTTGAAGTCCATGGTTGAGACACACTGGATTACTTTATTAATTCATTATATTTCCATACCTCTTTTCTGCCATCTAATGGTGGACTGGATAGGAGGGGTAGCTATTTATATTTACATTTATTTAATGCCTCTGTATTTCTATATCACTCCAGTTCAAAAGATTCAGGGCGCTTGAAAATGTAACAGAAGAAGATGAAAAAAAGAAGGACAATGACTTTGTTGGACTTACCTGGAAAACTTCTATTATTGCAGTTGGATTGGTCACAGACTTTTTGGTCAAAGAAAGCAAAGTCTCTTCCAATCTGGTAAAGCACCTGCAGTTCTTCGAAAGAGCTATTATTTCCACATCCCTTTACGATGGGTTCTAGCTGTTCTCCTGAAGAGGACAATCATTCAATGACTCTTATGCGCCAGGATCACAGTTGATCATAGTCTATTCAAAGTGCTTTCGCAGTACTTGTAGAAGTTAGAATAATAGGATTGGAAGGGATCTTAATACAGGTCTTCTAGTCCAGTGGTCGCCAACCAGTGGGCCGGAGATCACTGGTGGCCCGTGAGAAAATGTTGGTGGTCCACACAGAGAAATGCCACCCCCAAAGCAATTAATCCAAGCTGCGCGGGAACACAAGACTGCGCCGCCCACATGGCCCATGGGAACACGAGGGTTGTGTCGCTTGCATTGCAAACAACACGAGGTAATTGGGGGAGGGGGGAGAAGGGCAGAGGGGGGAACTTGCCCCACTTGCCCCACACACCTCGCCTGTCCACCGGGCTGCTTCTTTCCGCTTCTTCCTTCTTCTGCTTTTGGCTGCACACAAGGAAAGCACCAAAAGTCTTTCTTTCTCTCCCCCAAACTCCACCAGAAATGAGTCTTTGGGACCCTGCAAGGCCTCCTGCTCCAAGAGGCTGCGCCAGCGCGACAAGTCTCACAAAGACTCATTTCTGGCGGAGTTTGGGGGAGAGAAAGAAAGACTCCTGCTGCTTCTGCTGCTTTCCTTGCATGAAGCCAAAAGTCTCTCTTTCCCCCTGAGAACGGACCTAGAGACGGTATCCTGCGATCCCAAATAAAGAATGATTGATCGTTAGGAAAACAGGGTGGGGAATTTTCCTGCAGACTTTTTGGGGATTTTCCCAGGGTCTCTGGTCTGCGGGATTTAAAATTATGAGTTAGATGGTCCGTGAAGGCCAAAAGGTTGGTGACCCCGGTTCTAGTTCATCCCCCTGCTCAGAAAGGAGACCCTATAATATCATTCTGGATGAAGAGTTGTCCAGTATCTTCTTCAAACCTCCAGTGACGGAGCACTTACAACTTCTGGAGATAATCCATTCCACTGATTAATTTTTCTCACTGTCAGGAAATTTCTCCTTATTTCTAGGTTGACAAGTTTCCACCCATTGCTTCTTCTGCTACCCTCTAATGCTTTCAAAAATACTCCAACTCCCTCTTTCCCACGACATACCTTCAAGTACTGCAAGACTATTATTATGTCGTCCCATAGTCCTTCTTTTCATTAGACTGCACATACCTAATTCCCTCAATCATTCCACTTATGGTGTGACAGAATGGGATGGAATGTAGTCTGGATTCCCAGGAGGGAGGGGCTGCATTCCAGAGGAGCAAGAGAAAACAGTTGGCATGAGAAAAAGCGGGTGAAGACGGCACCTCCCTAATAGTTCCTAGAGTTCTATGATACAAGAAGTCCGCTTTAATTTGGGAAGATTTCCATAACCATTCTACTAAAAATAATTCCATCTATCCTTCTATTTTTTATATTTAACTGGCCAACCTGTGATTTTACTTACATGCACACACACACAAAACACTCAACACACAGGTTCAGAAGTAAATTCACAGGTTGGCCAGTTAAATAAAATAAAACTTTGAGTTCTTGTACTTTTAATTAAAAGCTTCCTGCTGAATTTGTGCTACTTTTTTTTTTCAGTGTGGCTAAGGGATTGAACCAGTGGTGGGATATAAATTTTTCTGCTACCGTTTCTGTGGGCGTGGCTTGGTGGGCGTGGCAGGGGAAGGATACTGCAAAATCCCTATTCCCTCCCCACCCCACTAACCTGCTTTCCAGCTCTGTTCTCCTGTGCAGGGCAACCAAAGAAGACCCAGCTGATCAGCTGGGACTCAATGGGAGGCGGAGAATAGATGGGGGCAGGGCCAGTCAGAGGTGGGATTTGTCGGTTCTCCAAACTATTCAAAATTTATGCTACCAGTTCTCCGGAACTGGTCAGAACCATCTGAATATCACCTCTGGGTTGAGCTGCTTATGAGCTACATTTATGTAACAAATTGTGGAACCTTAAGACAAACTCAAGGCCCGCATACCAGATCCAGCCCAGGGGATGCTTAGATCTGGCTGACAGGGCCACCCTGGAAACAGCAAAGGACCAGCTGGGGTGCCTCTGCCAGCAAAAACAGAGGTCAGGAGGGCCGCGTTTTATTTTCACCGGCAGACAGTTGCAGAGAAGGATTAGGGGAGACAGGATAGCGGTCTTCCAATATTTGAGGGGCTGCTACAGGGAGGAGGAAGGGGTCAAGCTATTTTCTAAAGCACCCGAAGGCCAGACAAGGAATAACGGAGGGAAACTGAACAAGGAGAGATTTAACCTGGAAACAAGGAGAAACTTTCTGACAGTGAGAACAATCAACCCATGGAACAGAAGTTGCTCTTGGAAGTTGTGGTAGCGCCATCACTTGAGACTTTCAAGAAGAGACTGGACTTCCATTTGTCAGAAATGGTGTAGGGTCTCTCACAGAAATGGTGTAGGGTCTCTTGCTTGGGTGGGGGGTTGGACTAGATGACCTACAAGGTCCCTTCCAACACTGATTATCTGTTATCAGGCAGCCACTGCAGCCAAAAACGGAGCTCGCAAAGGCCGCGGCAGCCCTCCCAAACTCCGTTTTCACTGGCAGAGAATTGCAGGTGGCTGCCTCAGCCAGAAATGGAGTTTGGGAGCCTGTTTTTGTTGGCAGAGCGCTTAGGTCGCTACAAGTGCCCCCAACAGGAGTGACGTCAAGTTGACCACACCCACCCAGGCCACGCCCCCACATCATCCCCCCTCCCTCCAAGGTCAAACACAACCCTGATGTGGCCCTCAATGAAATTGAGTTTGACACCCCTGCCTTAAGGGGAGAGATTTCTTTTAATTCTCCCATTTTCTTTCCTCAGTAAGAAAGTAGTTATTTTTCACGATGACAGAAAATTCCAAGCGACAAAAGAGAAACCATGAATAAACCACCCAAAGGAAGGGAGAAGGTGGTGTATTTTGTCACACAACCCTGCCAAGTTATCTCACATCGACACCCGCTTGTACCTGGAAGGAAACGCTGGGAAATTTGCACACACCGATCTTCACTCCCGTAGCATTGCCGCAAAGGGGCCGCCAGGCTGCATTCAGTTGTGTCCCCAATGCAGCTTTGGCACACCAGCCCGTTTTGCAATCCATCTTGTTTGACTGTTTGAAATGACAAGCAAGGAGAGAACTCACTCAATTCCCTCGTCCGATTCCATCGGTGGGAGCAATCCAGACACACACACACACACACACACACACACCCAAAAAATACGGGCGAAGTTACTAGAACCTACCCAAAAATGAATCTGTAAATATTTTCCCGACTCTTTTCATGACGCAGAAAAAAGTAATAGAAAGGGATAGAAACCCCACAAATTTGTTTCACATGGTGTACAGGTAAATCCTCGACTTATGGTCCACGCCTTCCAGCCACCTGGTTCCCACGGGAAAGAATTATTTGGCTACACATTCCCCCCACCGCCCCCCCAGCTATCTCTATCTCCCCCCTCACGTTCCAAAGTGCCAACCAGCCTCACTGTGTCAGCCCTGAAGATGTTCCTAAAATGGCTTCAGGGCTGACCCAGGATTTGTTGCATTCTGGGTTCCAGACACGCTTCTGTGGCTCTCCTTGTTTTTACGTACCAGACAAATGGATGGGTTGGCAAAGATTTGAAGAACAACACCACATTGTTCTGAACAAGGAACCCATCAGGCCCATGGGGTACCTTCGGCAATTATTTGAGGATCCACAGCCTTGCTTTGCGGTATCTGCGCTCACTACGAGGAAGATAATAAAATGAACGGGGTTACTTACCATCGGGTGGAAATGTTGCCTGAAGAGTCTATTTGGTGTTGCGCAATTATCTTGCACACTTGGTGGCCATCTATGGCACGATTTACTGGGTCGTATAGGTGGGCCTCGACTTATGACCCCAGAATTGACCCCAAAGTTTCCACTGCTAAGCAAGACAGTTGTAAAGGGACGTTTGCCCCATTTTATGACCTTTCGTGCCACAGTTGTTAAGTGAATCGCTGCAGCTGTTAAGTTAATAAGAGGGCTGGTAAGTGAATTTGCTTCTTAAAAGGTCACAAAAGGGGATCAGATGATCTCAGGACACATCAACCATCATAAATACATGCCAGTTGACAAACATCTAAATTTTGATGATGTGACCATGGGGAGGCTTCAATGGTCATAGGTGAGAGAAACAGTCCTAAGCGGGGGGTGGGCTGCTACTGGTTCGCCCTGGTTTGGATGAACCGGCAGCTAATTTATCATTTTTAATTACCGGTTCAGCGAACTGGTAAATCCCACCCCTGGCTGGCCCCACCCATCCTGCCCTCCCCTTCCCAGGATTCTCCATGCAACCCATTTTGAATGCCAGGTAAGTACACGGCCAGCATGAAGGCTTGGGGAGGGTGAAAAACGGGCCTCCAGGAAGTTCTGGAAGGCTGGAAACAGGCCTCCGGAGCCCAGGGAGGCCATTTTCGCCCTACCAGAGGTTCCAGGAAAGCCTCCGGAGCCCGGAAAGGGCAAAAACGCCTCCTCCTGGCCTCCCCCCACCCAGCAACCGGGCAGAGAACCGGTTGCTGAAATTTTTGAAGCCCACCCCTAGTCATAATCACTTTTTTCAGCATTGTAACTTTGAACAGTCACTAAATGAATGTTGTAAATCAAGGACTCTTTGTAACAGTATATGGGGATGTCTTCAAGAGACAGAAGGAAGAGCCACAGACTAGATAAGGGTCAGATCAAAAGTGCAGCCAAATATCCATAAACGTATTTTTGAGCTCTGTATAATCTTCAACGAAGAGCTGGTTTTGGTGTTGTGCTTAAGGTACCCGGCCAGAAACCAGATGATGAGTTACTTACTAAGGTGTGGCCTTAGTATGACCACACCTGGAAGACTCCATCCAGTTTTGGCCACCTTGTTACATGTTGAGACTTTGGGGGGCGGGGGGGGGAGTGCAGAGAAGAGCAACTAAGATGATTAAGAGCCTGAAAACCGGTTGCAAGAATTGGGTATGGCCAGTCTAGATAAAAGAATGACTAGGGGCGACATGATAGCAGTATCCCAATATTTGAGGGGCTGCCACAAGGAAGAAGGGGTCAACTTATTTTCTAAAGCACCAGAGGGCAGGACAAGAAATCATGGATGGAAACCAGTCAAGAAGACAAGCAACCTTTGGAATTAAGGAGAAACTTCCTAATAGAACAATTAGCCAGTGGAATAACTTGCCTTCAGAAGTTGTGGGTGCTTCATCACTGGAGGTTTTTAAGAAAAAACTGGACAGCCACCTATCTGAAAAAGTATAGAGTCCCCAGCTAGAATAGTATTTGCTCAGAATTGGAAAAGTGAAAAAAATCCAAGAGAGGAAAAAGATGATTGAGAAAATATTAGAATGTGCAGAGATGAATAGATTAACATTGGCAATTAAAGAAAAAGAAGAAACTGAATACTATATGGTATGGGGTCTGTTTTATCAATGGTTGGAAAATAAAGTAATAAGCTAAAAGTGAGAAGATGAATATATGGAGAAATAAGTTTAAGATTGTTATAAAGATAAAATATGTAAGTGATAATGGCATATAAAGAAAAAGTGTTATTTTGGTAAGGAAAGTATATTAATTATAATTGTTAGCACAAGATACATGTACCCAGTCGCCACAACTGTTTAAATGAAAGATGGATTTGTTGTAAATATTAAAAAAAAAACCTTTTTAAAAAAAGAAATGGTACATACAGGGTCCTATTTGAGCAGGAGGTTGGACTTCCTCCAAAATTCCTTCCAGCTGTTTTGATGGATTGAGTTCTACTCTGTCATGAAGACAGCTGGATGACCCTAAACTAATCTTTTTCTCTCAGCCATAGGAGGAAGATCTGAAATCTCCTCAGGGAGACCCCAGGAGTCACAAAACCGACTTTAGAGTTCCCCACACAGAGACACAACCCTTTGAAGAACAAGACTTACATCCATGGTACTTCTTGATCACTGTGAAACAGGCATCTTGGTTGGGTCTGCAAACTTCCACTGGAGCCTGGGAGCAGTTCCCTTCGTTAATTAAGCACTTATGGCACTCCAAGCTATTAGCTGAAGAAAAAGAATCGACATTCCACCGAACAAGGGAATTTCACTATCTTTCCAAAGGACTGGACTTGCAAGAATTCCTGGCTCGGTTCTTCATTATCTGCCCCGGGTAATCCCGAGTCTTTCCAAACTCAGAATTTTAGGAATGACAGTTCCCCATACTTTCCTACCACACCAAATTTGGAAGACTGCAACAGCCATCTTAAAGCGGTGATAAAATTCAGAGGACGTGTTGCAAAATTGTGCATCTAGCTTCTCAGAGTCGTTGGTTAAGAGGTGGGTGGCAAATCAATTTTATAAATAGATAAATACAAATAAATAAGCTGTCGTGCAGGCTTTCTCATGAGATCTATTGTATCCAGAAATATCTACGTCTAACATTTTAGGACAGTATTTCTCAATCATGTGGACTTTGACTCCCAGAATTCCCCAGCCAGCACAAAGAATTCTGGGAGTTAAAGTCCATACTTCTTAAATTTGCCAAGATTGAGAAACACTGTTTTAGGACATTATTTTCTCATCCTCTGAGGAGAAAGTGGTTTGGTTTGGTTCACACAATAATTTCCATGGGGAAGTGAGCTACGCCAACTGATAGAAATACCTCCTAGGCTTGTGGTTTACTGAAATGACAAGAAGCATAGCTATTGCTGGAAGACCATTATCTGGCCATTAATTAATTCATTTTCCCCAAGTTGATTTGTGTTTCTTTTTTAATACTCTTCAATGGTTCCCTGATTGCATTAATAGATCTAATGTCTTAGATCTGCTCTATGTTTTGTCCTCTGAATGAAATTTTTGTTTTAAAATATTTTCAATTTGTTAATCGCCTAGTTTTTTCCCCCTTGTTCGCAATTCTACCCTATTGTAATATGATTTTTTTGCTTTTCAGCACAAATAAAGTTCAGCTAACCATTGAAATAATCATTTTTTTCCGGTTTGTGCATTACAATAATCCATAAACCAGCAGAGTGTTTACTTGAATAATATGAATTATGTTTCCTGTGTTCTTATATTGAACTTGATACAGAAAATCCTGCTTTGTATATATGGAGCATCTCACTGAATGATTAAGGCAGGGGTCTTCAAACTTTACAACTTTAAGACTGGTGGACTTCAACTCCCAGAATTCCTCCTCCCGTCATGTTAGGTCAAGAATTCTGGGATTTGAAGTCCACAAGTCTTAAACTTGCCAAGTTTGAAGACCCTTGATTTAAGGTCTGGTTGGTTGCAGAAACCTTCCTAATGGAATATCTACGGAGATTCTCAGTCATGGTTGTTCCAAAGATGCTTTTTTTCAACTGGATTTTGCTTTTCCTTGAAGACATTTTGCTTCTCATCTAAGAAGCTTCTTCGGTTTTGTCGGAAGTCAGAACTGAAAAAGCTTGTTTAATTGTAAGTGATGACTAGGAAGTGGATCCACAAAACAATTTGTAAACCAACCGACACACCGTATGTACATATGTGGAAGATGGCTTGATGTTTTTATGTTGTGTTTGTCTGTCTAAAAATAATAAAACTTTTTCAAAAAAAAAAAAAGAACTGAAAAAGCTTCTTGGATGAGAAGCAAAACGTCTTCAAGGAAAAGCAAAAGTCCAAGTTGCTTTTTGAAAAAATCACCTTTGGGACTTCCTGACGGAAGGAGGCACCTGGAAATTTCTTCCATACCATGACGTCCCCAGAACGCAATCTCAACATGAAGACTTCATCTTCACCTTTATTTTATAAACCATCCAGACAACTTTAGTTAAAAATAAGAAGAGAGAGAGCAATAATTTGCACTTACCCATCCCAAGACAAAAAATGAAGATTGTAATAGACCCTTTATCCATCACAGTCACACTATCAGAGAAGAGGGAAACGTAGCAAATTATAATGTGCTTCAGGGACAAGGAATTTGTCCATAATCGATTTCCAGAATGAGTATCTACTGGATGGGGCCATATTCTGCCCCAGGATCTTGACAGTAAGAGCTATATCAAGAGTTTCCAAACTTTAAGACTTGGGGACTTCAACACCCAGAGTTCCCCAGCCAGCTGGCTGTGGAATTCTGGGAGTTGAAGTCCGCAAGTCTTAAAGTTGCTAGGTTTGGAGACTCCTGATCTATAGCAAATTAATTGTCCATGAAGAGTGAGGAGGAAGACGTTAAGAGTTTCAAAACTGACCTCATTACTTTTCTGCTGGGAGACAAACCACCCTTAACTTCCTTCATTTCCATCTATCCACCATTCCTTATAAAAAAAACAGGATCAAGTACATCCAAACAACCTCTAAGAAAAGACATTCAAAGGCTTGAAACCAGAAAGCATTTCAGGTTGCTTGAAAGAAGAAACTACAGAAAGTGATTTGGAAATCCACCTGTTTGTATTGTCTTACCAGCAGCTGATGATCTGGATGAGGCAAAAAGATCTCCTGGAATGCATCCCTACTGAAATAGGGCCAAGCCAAGGAGGACGGTTGGATTGTCCCTCCTTCGAAGGGATAGGCAGAAGGGTGGGGCTTCCTGCTTCCCCGGTGTTCAGTGAATAATCCAAATTCAATGCCGCAATAATTTGTTCCTATTTTTTAAAATACCCTTTCAAAAGAGCCCTCTCGATTTGGGTGAAACTCCACTCATAGCTCAATCCCGTCTCTTCCATTCTCTGCCTTCCCTTGACCAAGGAGTATACATTTTACTAGCTCGATACCTGTGCTTCACTACGAAACTATGTGGTCATGCTTAGTTTTTGGGGAGGAAAATAAATTCTGCCTCTGCCTACCAGCATCCATTGGTGTTCATCTAACTAGCATCCTGTCAGTGTGTGAGAGAGTTGAGGGCTGTTTGGAAACTGAAACAGTATTTGCTGTGGGAGCAAGGAGACAGCAAGGAGCCCAGGCATGGCTTAGCTCAACTGTTCTGTACTAAAGCAGGTTGCTGCTGTGAAAATAAAACTGAAGCTGAAACTCCTCTCCTCTGCTTGTGCTGTGCATTTGGAACAGATATCTTTTCGGGGAGTAGACCTCCTTAGCATCAGAACGTGTGAATAATAATATACAAAATACTGATGCTCTGATGGTCATTTCAAAAAACCCTGTCTCAGTAAGCACCTAGATGCCAAGAGGAACATACTGCCAAATTTCAAGTTTGTAGGTTTTACGGTTTTGTGATGATGGGTGAGTGGTATTTCACTTTTATATATAGAGAGAGAGATTATAGAACTAGCACTTGGGACTTATATATAACCTCCCCTCAAGTGCTTTACAGCACTCTCTTACAATTTCAGCCTACAGCCCACAACAACCAATCAGCGTAGCATCCTAGCCAACAAAAGCCCTTCAAAACATCCTAAGGAAACCAAAAGACCCCAAAACCCCAGAAGAAGAAAAAAAAAATTCAGGAGTCATCTACAACATACAATTTCAGGACTGCAACAACCACAACATAGGACAAACAGGCAGAAGACCAGCAAAACGCATCCATGAACACCAACTGGCCATCAGAGGACACGGTGAAAAATCTTTAATTTCATAACATAGAGACAGAGTTAACCCTCGTTTCAATTGGAAAAATGTGGCAATTCTAAACTAGGCCAAGTCCAGAAATGCCAGGGGATTTGTAGAAACTTGGCACTCTTGACAAATCAGCCATCAATAGACACATAAATATAAATAACATTTACATACAGTGCAAAAGAGACTATCAATGAGCCCAAAAGAGAACAAAAAGATTCCAGCATCTCTCCACCAGTAATCAGCATAGATTAACTCCAAGGTTAAGATCAGATCTAACAATCTAATAAATAATATCCCAATTAAGAAAATGCTAGCAAGCCAACAGTAAACAGCCTCACCCAAAGAACCTCTAAGACCAAGCCCACCAACACAGACAGGTAAGCCACCAGAATATAAACTGACAGCAAACCCCACTCCTTAACTAGCACTGATAACGTTACCTAGCTAGGGTAATGCAACATCGGCAAGAAAACAAGCAAAATCAGAGCGCACCAATGACTCCCCTCGCCCCTATAGTCGGTATCCTCATTTTACCAACCTCAGGAGGATGGAAAGCTGAGTCAACCTTCATGTTCAGTTAGACCACAGGACACCGTATTTTCAGACACCCAGGCAGTTAAATTGCGACACCCTCAACCGTTTGGCCAACAAGCAAGCAAGAAATCTTGTAAAAAGCCCATCAATCTTGGCCCCTTCAACTTCTCTATTGAGGTTCAAATCTTCTCCAGAATAACTCCTAGAAGTCTTCAATTTCAATTTGAGAGCATGTTATCTCGCAACCTAACTTTTAACTAGTTGCTTGAAATTTTAACGCAAGGAGGTTGAGGTTCAGACCACGTATCTCAACTGGGGTTAAAACGGTTGATGGTGAGTCATTTGTGATTCAGCTTGGCCCAAGAAGCTACGTGCTTGTCTTAAGCACCAGTCTGGTGTCATTTAGTGAAGCAGAGTGACTTAGAATCTAGTGAGTAAGAAACATTACAGTTCAAATAGTTGTAAATAAATAAACCAGGTATTACATTTAAACCGTCCTATGGCTTTGCTTGACCACAGCATATTAGGTGAAAACAAGTACACTTTCTTCTCTGGAGCATAAGGTTAAATAGGTTGTGTGAATCCAGCCAGAGGGTCTACCTGGGAGTCTTCTCCAATCCCACCAGATCCCAAGATCATTATGGTTGGTCAGAATTCCATCTCGAAATGTGAAGTGACTGAAGTTGGGTCCATAACGCCACCAAATTGAAGAATCTTATGTATTAGGATGTCATTACAAGTCTCGGGTTCCAGTCTAAGCAACTTCCACAAGTTAAGGTCACAATGAATTCTCTGAACTATTGCCTGCTTTGAGTCATGCTATGGTTGGAAAGTAAGCGTCTCTCTCCTGCACGAAGAACAAGTTGTTGTAATCCTGACAGCTCTGGATCAGGGCCTTGTGCCGCTAGTAATTTACCAAATTCATGGCAGTTAGCAATCCTCTGAATGTATACATCACATTATTGCGCTAAACCACCATGTGACATGTTTAGTTTGGGGGCCTTGAATGAACACAACTCCCGTGGCCTGTAAACCATGGATGGTGGCATAACCCGAGGAAATTGGAACCCTGTTGTCATGCAATGGTTTAGTGTGATGCATATCCCAGGCCAGGGGTGGGCTTCAAAAAATTTAGCAACCGGTTCTCTGCCCAGTTGCTGGGCGGGTAGTGCCATGGTGGGCAGGATCTAATCGGCATCCTGCACCACGAGGGGGAGGCATCTTCACCCTCCCCGGGCTCCGGAGGCTTTCCTTGAGCCTTCGGAAGGGTGAAAAGGCCTTACTGGGCTCCAGAGGTTCTCTGGAGGCTGGAAATAAGCCCATTTCTGGCCTTCTGGAGCTTCTGGGAGGCCCGTTTGTCACCGTCCCAAGCCTCCACTTGGGCCCTGGACTTACCTGGCATGCAAAATGGTCCACGTGGAGACTCCTGGGAGGGGAGGGGAGGGGCAGTTAGGGCCAGCCAGGGGTGGGATTTATAAGTTCGATGAACCATCCATAAAATTAGCTACTGGTTCGCCTGAACTGGGGTGAACCGGTAGTAGCTCACCCCTGTCCCAGGCCCAGGAAATATTTTTGACTCATAAATTGTGCAAGGCCTAGGAAGGTTTCCATTTTGGCTCTAAAATCTGTGCTCTTATATAATGTAGAGATCAGGTACTCCTCCCTTCTGACATCCCTGCTCTATTTTTGTCTCAGTTTAATAATCTGACAATCTGCTTTTCTCCTCCGAGGCTTAAGGTGAGTTGGCAACACTGTGCAGTTACAAACATTGCCTGGGTGCTTCCAAGAAGCATATTCTACCTGATCAGAAATCAAACCGACCCCAACTCTTGGCAGCCACTCTTCAAAATAACACCATCCTTCTGGGACCGGGATTTGCTTTAGAAAGATGTTTTTTTTTATTTTTCTTTGGCTTAGGAGCAGATATAAATCTGATTTAAGACGGGCAAGAGTAACTGCTCAGTTGAGCTTTAACCAACAGCCTGTTTATGGGGTCCCCTAACTAATTCCCCCAGGGTTGCATTGCCAAAATCCCGCCTTCAAGCTGCAGCTGTGTAATTTTTCATACTTCTCCTAACCCTCACCCTACAAGGAAGCAGTAAAGTGAGTGCGTTCAGTCCCTGATAGGTTTACCACCTAGGACAGGGCTCTCCAACTTTGGCAACTTTAAGACCCGTGGACTTCAACTCCCAGAATTTTGGAAGTTGAAATCCACAAGTCTTAAAAGTTGCCAAGGTTGGAGACCCCTGCTCTAGGAGGCATGACTAAACTGCTCCAATGATGTCCACGTGGGATGGCACTTCAAAGAATGGAGACATAATTTGATTTCTCTAAGATCTTTTTATTAATGGCCTTTGGGGAATACTTCTACAGCCTGGGAAGAAACAGAGAGGGAAAAGTCTTGTTTGATCCTTTGCACAGCATGCAGTTTTATATACATTTGATGCACAGACACACACCTCCACTGACACGCACCAGTTGCAATTCAATGTGTCTTCTAGATCACTGTTTTGCAACCTCAAGTGTGGACATCAGTTCCCAGAATTCCCCAGCCAGTCACATGACCTATATATTTTTTTTATTCCAATAAATAAACAGCACCTCCCTCTAGTGGCCTGCCAAGGAAGTGCCACCATAAATCACCATCGGGGAAAACTTTAATTCAACCATGTGCTCCAACCAAGCCTTTCCATTGGAGATCTATCTCTGGAAAATATGATTGGATATTACGCTCCTCCTTCCCCATTTTTGATTAGTCACCCTAGGGCTAGGGAAGAAATTTGCCACAAAAACCTTAAATTTCATTCAAGT